AACCCTAAACCCTAAACCCTAAACCCTAAACCCTCACCTGTGTTTTGTGTATTTTTTTCTCTTTCTACAGATAAGTCCCAAATAGAGAGAGAATTATCTAAAGAAGAAGCAGCAAACACCGCTTCGTCTTTTGGGTGCCAGCCCACACACTGAACACACAAACCCTAAACCCTAAACCCTAAACCCTAAACCCTAAACCCTAGAATGTTATTTGTGTAGAGTTGTGTATGTATGGATATATGTTGAAGCAAATAAGGGTTTAGGGTTTAGGGTTTACTAAATACATATTTTTTTTCGTATGAATTAGGGTTTAGCGTGTTTAAAATTTTAAGGGTTTAGACTTTTGAGGGTTTAGGGTTTAGGGTTTTTGAGGGTTTAGGGTTTAGGGTTTAGGGTTTACGGTGATGGGTTGTTTGTGCCAGTTCATCTCTGCTAGTGGCATCTCTATATAACGTAAATCATAAACCCTCACTAAACCCTCCTCATCACCAGAGAGAATAAAATTAGGGTTTAGAGGAGAAAACGCAATACTGTTTACATCAGCTAAACCACCAGAAAATAAACAACAACATAAACTACACACATCAACGCCAGCACGCAGATCCCATAGCCTGAGCATACACCACATTAGGGTTTAGGGTTTAGGGTTTAGGGTTTGCTTCAGAACTGCGGTTTAGGGTTTAGGGTTTAGGNCCACATTAGGGTTTAGGGTTTAGGGTTTAGGGTTTGCTTCAGAACTGCGGTTTAGGGTTTAGGGTTTAGGGTTTAGGGGTTGTATAAGGATTGCGGTTTAGGGTTTAGGGTTTAGGGTTTATGTGGTTAAGGGTCTGCGCTGGTAAGGCAAACACTCCAGAGAGCTCATACAATAAACCCTAAACCCTAAACCCTAAACCCTAAACCCTTATCCCGAAACCCTCAACCCTAAACCCAAACCCTAACCCCTAACCCCTAAACCCCAACCCCCAAACCCTAAACCCTAAACCCTAAACCCAAACCCCAAACCCTAAACCCCAAACCCCAAACCCTAAACCCTAAACCCTAACCCCTAAACCCCAAACCCCAAACCCTAAACCCTAAACCCTAACCCCTAAACCCCAAACCCTAAACCCTAAACCCTAACCCCTAAACCCCAAACCCTAAACCCTAAACCCTAAACCCAAACCCTAAACCCCAAACCCTAAACCCCAAACCCTAAACCCTAAACCCTAAACCCTGACTTGATGGATCCATCATTGGATGCTGCGGCGAATATTTGGGCTTCTTCTAGTGGTTTCCATTTCAGCTCTTCTATGGTGGGGTTGTTGTGTTTATTATTTTTATTTTTTATATTTATATTTATATTTATATTTTTATTTTTATTTTTATTTTTATTTGTTGCTGTTGATGCATGCGATAGCTCCTCTACACCCCAACCACCCTCACGAGGCAACCACAAATACACCTGACCATTGGTGTCACCGGTCAGCAACCGACCGAGCTGCGCATACACCCCAAACCCTAAACCCTAAACCCTAAACCCTAAACCCTAAACCCTAAACCCTAAACCCTAAACCCTTAGGTGTAGAGATGAGAATGCCAGTTCGTCAGGTGTACGTAACAACCACTATCAATCAGCATCTATAAACCACACATACAAACCCTAAACCCTAAACCCTAAACCCTAAACCCTAAACCCTAAACCCTAAACCCTAAACCCTA